GTGTTGCATGCTTGTGGTGCCTAAATTTAGCTTAAAGTTTAAAGTTTAGTATAAAACAAAGGCAAGGAGGATTACCTGTGCCTTTATTTTAAAAAAATTATATAAAAATAATTTAAGCATTTAAGAGACACAAATGCATGTACAAAAAAAGGAAAAACTATGTAAAAATATATATTTAAAAAACTGTAAATTTTAAATTGTGTTAAAATATACCATTTATTGGAACTAAGCTGGAAAAATAAATATGACAAGTCAATTAAATCATAAAACTTGATGTAAAGTTCTTTTTTATTTATTTGGTTCATTTTAATGTATTTATTTATTTAGTGGTTCATTTCTATGTTTCTGCTTTTAATTCTAATTATGTCAGTGTCGGTCCTCCGTACTGCAGAACATGAAGAGGTAGTTCAGTGACTGAATCAGGTGTGTTGGAGCAGGAAACATGTAAAACATGTAGGGCTGCGGCCCCCCAGGACCAGGATTGCCCACCCCTGGTTTAGTGGAAATAGTTTGGTTAACTCCTCTAACAGACACCTCTGAAATTCCTTAAAAGCCTTCTGACATTTTTAAGGTGCCAAATTAAAGCTAAGAACCGGAGGAAGTTGTCTGACACCCTCAAAATAAAAGCCCCTGATAGGGTCTGGAGGCGTTTAAAGGCAAAAACCGAACCGTTTTTGCCCACCGGTGGAACAAAGACTGTTAAAGTTTCAGTAAGTTCAAGTTTATTTCATAGAGTGTGTAAAAGTACTTTCACTTTTCCAATTTTTATTTATTTTTTCATTTTCTGCTGAGGTATTTTTCCTTTTACTTATTTTTTCCAAGTACTTTATAGACCTTTGCAACAATTTGACTCCAGTGGAAGGCTCTTATCTGCTTAGTTAAATCCAGACCTGTCTCTTGGCCAGGCACTGGGTAGACTTGTCTGTATGATCAACCCAAATGGAGGCAAAACTTACATGAAACATTATAACCCAGTATACAGGAACATCTGTTCCAAGAACCAGACTGACTGTAATGTTAAAACTTTCATTTTACCAAAAGTATAATTTTTGTATGGGATAAATCTTGTGCCAGCAGGAATTAAATCTGAGTGTGCATAATTTGAAATGGAATGCATTGGTTTGAAAATAAATTTTACTAAACTGAAACTGAATTTAAAGTTTTGAATTTGAAATAATTTGCTTTGAAATTGTATTTTGGTTTATTAAAAATTCAGTTTGACTACTTTCACTTTCAGTTCCAAAATTCAGATTTTTGTGTCACATCCTGGTCCTTGAGAAAGCCAGGCAGAGTAATCAAACACAGATCCACAGATTTATGTTTTGTAACATACTGTATTAGCATATAGGTAAAATTAATCACTGCAACAAAATAACTTTGTTTTAGTCACTTTTACAGTGGATTGCATCAACTTTACCAAAGTGAAACATAAATCTGTGGATCTGTGTTTGATTACTCTGCCTGGCTTTCTCAAGGACCAGGATGTGACACAAAAATCTGAATTATGGAAATGAAAGTGAAAGTAGTCAAACTGAATTTTTAATAAACCAAAATACAGTTTCAAAGCTACGGAGTCTGCGAGGGGACATGGGGGATTTTTTTTTTCTTTTTGCGTTCCAACGCAAAAGTATTGCGTTACCTCGCAATAACTTTTGCGTTCCTTCGCTAAAGTCGTTTAACACTGTTGTGCCTGCCGGTTTATTAACAAATTCACCTGCTCACCATTAGCAAGTTAGCCTACTTTAATTCAGCTTCATAATGAAAATATCACACAGCCACGCATGGAAGTATGTCATACGTCGATATTTTAACACAGCGCAGCCACGCAACATCAATGTCAATTTCACGAACTTGTGGCGACACATCCTGTTTTGGTAACCGGATATTTCAAAATAAAAGTCTGATTTAATTCAGTTCATATACAAAAGATTTTTTTGCGAGGGAACGCAAAAGCATTGTGAGGGAACACAAAGGTATTGCATGGGAAGGCTAAAGAAAAAAATCCCATGTCCCACCGCTGGCTCCGTACAAAGCAAATTAGTTCTGATACAAAACTTTAAATTCAGTTTCAATTAAGTAAAATTTATTTTCAAACCAATACATTTAATTTCAAATTATGCACAATCAGATTCAATCTGAGCAATTCAAATTCAGTTCCTGATGGCACAAGATTTATTCCATATTTTACCTATAAAACTTGTTTGGATGGGTCACGTTGTGTACATACATTGTAAACTCCCACTCAGTGTATTTCATTGTGCCAGTTATTTGTTCATGTTTTGCAACAAGCTGCTAATCTTGTTTTCTGTCCCATCATAAAGTTTCCACCAGTATGTTTTCCACCAGTGTTCAGTTAATCTTACATCAAACAAGTGATTAAACTTATTTAGCATCAGGAACAAACTGATCAACTGATTGTATCAAAGTGTTGCCAGTAAATATTTACTGATGTTTATTATATATTTATATCTCTTGTTAGATCAACTTGAACCAGTTTACAAATTCCAATGAAAATAGCTTTACATGTATTTAAAAAAATTAAAAAAGGGAGACAAAGAAAATGTCTTTTAGCAGTAGATGGGCTCAGGCAACATGGACATCATGTATTCTTGTTCTGCAGTGACCTGTGGAGGCTGCCACTGACACTCTATGAGGGCGTCGTACAGGTCCTCACTCTGCTCCATGAACTTCCTGTTGGCTTCCAGCACGTCCACCTCCAGGCCTGGATCTGCAACACAAACACACAAAACCAACTCATGTGTTAGGTTTACAAAAACTACATTCTTCACATTTCTTGGCTTCCACTTGACAACTCAAAGCTTCAGCTGGGACCAGCGAGACCACTCCAGGATCCTCTTTAAGGTCCTGAGCTTTGGCTCACAGTCATGCTGAAAGTGTCACAGTGGTCCCAGTACTTGCCTTCAACTGGTTCTTCCTCTGGAACTGCTTCATCCTAAAATAAGACAACAGGACACATTAGAATGCATATTTACTGAGCATGAAAACTGACCGTGGAGCAGGTTTACCTGTTGTTGGGTGTACTGGGAGTAGTCATATTGTGGGTAGTTGTAGCCATACATCGCTCCAGTCTGATCATAGCCCCAGGAGGAGTAATAGCCAGGATAGCTCTGGTGCTGGTACTGGTGGTACTGGTCGTAGCCGTATTTGTACGCCGAGTTGGACTGCCACGACTGTTTGCTTTCTGACTGCTGCTGCGGGGGCTTGTTCCTCAAACTGAGAGCAGGAAGAAGAAACCCACAGCTCGTCAGAAACCTGGTTCCTTCTGAACAAAAACAAACAAATGGGAGCGAAAATACTCACTTGTTAGCAGCCAGACTTAACCTCAGAGGTTTGCTCCCCAGTCCTACAGCACCTTGACACTCATCCAAAGCCCGCTTCTGAAGCCGCTCATCTGGGAACTGAACAAATCCACATCCCCTGAAAGTCAGACACAAAGGCAGTGTGTGTCAGGAGAAGCTGCTGGAGTCAGGGAGATTAGACGCAGAGCAACAGTTTGGTACTCTGATTAAATGTTGGTGTCAGGAAGCATTAACACACCCCCATAACATGCTGTAAAATCAGAATCAGGTTTATTGGCCAAGTATGTTGACACACACAAGGAATTTGCAGTTTAGAACATCCGTCCAGAAAAACACACACACATGACAAACATGAGGGAACGAATGTCCAGGGTCCTTCGCAACTTAGTGCGCTACCTTTGCAGTTTAGAATACACACACAATTGGAGAGGTGAGCTTAAAAAAAGAGCTTTGATCCTGTGTTTTATACAGAAAAACACACAAGTATGTGCTCAAAAAAACTACTCTGCAACAATGCAGTTAGCTAAGGAGGGCGGGGGCTCAGAACACATGGAATAGGGAAGGGTTCAGCAGAGCCGGCAGAACTTGTGTTGACACGATCAGACCTTCAAAAGTCCAGACCAGTTGTTATCAGTCACAGCACAGTCACTAGAGTTTAGTTCTCTGTTTCCACCCAACGCTGCCTTCAGACCGATCCGAGCACAGATGGAACAGGTGGGGATGGTGGGTGGAGTCAAGACTTCCTTCTCACATCATTCCAGGGAGGTTTTATCAGCTTGCGACCAAGGTCACCAGCTGCAAAGGGATGTAATGATAAACATAACTGTTTAGAGCAAGCAGTCTGATTTTCTTCTGCTTTGAGTCTTAACTGCGCCTCTGTGTTGAGAAAAATACCAATGTTCCAAATCCAGTTACCTCCTCGCTCTCTCACCGTATGAAACTTCACCCAGTTGTGATCACTCCTCACAGGCACGCTGCTGAACTGTGATCCTCGTCAGAATCACATCCAGTTTGCGACTTATATCCCCCAGCAATTGAGTCTGTGCATTTCCATTACGAGAGATTCCATCCATGGTTCCTGACAGCTTCTCACAGGCCCGGACTGCTGTCAGAATCCTTTTCATTTTCCGATAAACCAGGACTCCTCCACAGCCGATCAGCAGGAATCCGATTATCATAAATCTGAATATAAACACATCTTCAACGTCTTCGATGGAAAGCAGGACCAGGCAGATCAGGTTCCACCCCCAGCTCCCGGTCACATGCCCGTCCGCGACGGTTACACTGGGACAGCTGCAATCCCCTCACTCCAATCTCAATGCGGAAAAAATAGTGTCAATCGCACTCAGAGAGTTGACCAGATCCATAATTCTTTTGTTGTCGAATGATAGGTAGAAGAAAGACTTGATCCAGCAGCAAAGCAGGGGGAAATAAAGGGAGGTTTGGGAGAGAGAGCAAAAAGCGTCCGACTCCTCTGAAGGCCAAGCCAATAAGAGGAGTATACCCCACAATCTCACCTGCTACTTTTTTTAGATTATGAATCTGAGTTTTTGATTTAACCGTTAGATTTCCAAACCAACAGATGATACCGTAGCGGAGCACGGAGCCTGTTGATGAGCTGTAGAAAATGAACACTGTGTTTCTGCAGACACCAAATAAATGGAGTCTGTGCAGAAAATGAAGGTGCTGGTGAATTCTGGCACACAGTGATTTAAGCTGGCAGACAATGTGCACACCTGAGTGTATGAAGTCACCTGTTTACTGCCACTGTGAGAGTAGGCACAGAGGTCACCAGGGTTTTTATAG